CCCCAAAACCCCAAAACCCCAAAACCCCTTGGGAGGTCTGCTCAATTGAAGTTATTGGTTGAGTTTCAGAATGTCAAGGCTGATGGTGTCATGTGGTTTGTCCAGCTTGACAGCTCTGGGTGCCACCCTCTGTTTGACAATGTTCGGCTGGATGGGGTTCACTTTGACTGGCTCATCGAAGTGATTGAGTAAGTCAATATCTTCATCTTGGCTTTTGTGTTCTTCATCCATTCTGTGACCCTGAATGATGCTAACATCATTGACCTGGAACCCTTCAAGCTCTTTGTCTGAATGTTTCTAAACATCATAGAGCTTAAGCTTTTACCTGAACAGTTCCAAATCTAGTCGACTCTTCTTTGTTCCTAAAGATCAGTACAGTGACCTACCTTGTGTCTGCATTCGTGGCATTCATAGTATCAGCGAGACTTCTAAGCATGAACTATTTGCCTACTTGTTAAACAGATGGCCGTTGCCGTTATCTTTAACGCCAGATTTGTCTTCCTCTTTAGAAACTATTGTGGGTTGTACTTTCTTACTGTTCTTGCTTTTGAGTTTAGAAGCTTTAGGCTTCTTTGATTTTGTAGACTTAGCACCAGAAGCTAGAAATGCTTTCTTAAGTTTAGTGTTTTCTAGGGGAGTTATAATTTGATCATACTTCTATCAGTGCGGTAGGTATGAATGGTATTTTCATTGGCTTTTAATGCTTTCTTATGCATCATTCCATGCTCAATAGCAGGAGACATGTAAGATCTGTTTGTTAGCCAGTCAGTTTACCTTCTTTTCTTAGCTATGGACGGAAATTTTATAATTTTCAGCGGTTTAGGTATTTCCATTGGTGAGGCTAGTTCTCCTTGCTTGTATTTTGCTTCTTTCTTCCTAGAACTCTATAGCATAATCCAGAGATATTAGAGGACTTACTTCTTGAAACCTGTGGGATCTTTGAAGCCAGCTAGTAGTCCCGTATTATCTATTTCATATTTATTTAGAATAATACAGTTGTTGCCTTGCTCTGTTTGGTGCCTATATTTCAGAGGAAGGAGCTACTTCTCTAATAGGGGTTTGTCCTTAGCAGGCTTTTTGAAAGCTGACATATTTACTTGTTCCTGAGATGCATATCTTTGCATTCTGTGGTGGTGAGAGAGATTTTACTTCCTTGAGTTAGTGATTCCCCTATCTTTGGAGTCATTACGTCTGATCTGGTGCTTGATTTGAGGAGCTTGCTCTCGGAAGATATCTAAGATAATGCTTCATCGTACCCTAAAGCATGAGGTTGATGGAGTACAGCATTCATGACTAACCCAGTCCTTCTGTGATTACTGATGTTATTTATTACGACTGAAATTATTAGCAGTTGTTACTTTCTCTTGTTTTCCTTCTTAAGTTGAGCATGTGCTCTCCACTTGTTGATGATGAGCTTGGCTCATTTCTGTTGAACTCTAGTGATCAAGTTGCTTTCATCTCCGATGAGGCTATGGGTCAAGGATCTAGGTACATCGAATCAAGATTTGAGTGGATTTTGGCCATCATTCTCTGGCTCAGTCCTTTTCGGGCAAGGTAGCCTATGGGTGATGGATCTATTGGTATACCTCTGTAATACTTCTGGATGACAATAACAGCTTTGGTCAATTTTAATAGCTCCTCATCTCTTTCAGCCTATTTACGGATAAGATTTGGGAAGGATTTAGTTACCTTGGTTAATTTGAAATTTTTCCTGGCAAGAAATCCTCGAATCAGAGTCTGAATTTTAATGATTTTGGGGAGTAAATTTATGATGTTAGATTCTGATCCTTCTGATAGAAGACTAGTTAAGCTAAAGGGTTATTTTTATGGTACCTTTTACCTCCCCCTTGAGTAGTTGAAATTGTGTTTCTATAGTAATATAGGTGAGAATTTGTGCTGCTTTTTCTGATTATAACTCTTGTTGAGGGAGTTAAATTAATAGGAACAATTTTCATACTCTTTCTTATCCACCTATTGTGCTTATTATTCAGATCTTACGTGAAACTCACTGTTAGCAACCTTCTCCAAGTATGAAGTGTCTTTAGGCCCAGGAAATTGTTTCTCTGCTGTAATTTCTTCAAGAGCGAGGCCTTTTGGTTTATTTTTAGTTTTCTTGATGATCTCCTTCATCTTTTGTTTTATTTTCAGAATCTTTTTCTCAAGGTTTTTATTTATATCTCTCTTGTTTCTTTGTAGCTGCGTCGATTGAGGTATCCTCGTACATGCCTTAAGTGGTCATATTGGCAAATTGGCTTACCTGAGACATTGAAGTAGGTGGAGAACTCTGTCCTCCTGCCTTTGATGGACCTCTCTATCTATAGCTTTTAGAGCCAAAGATGAGTACTTCTCTTTGGTATTTATACACCCCTATTGGGTAGAATGATCCTGATCGGTGAAGAGGCTTTATATCGGCTAAGAAGTGTTACAGGTTAATTTACTTGGGATGTTCCTGGTTCTCTTGGATCTCAACGCTGGGTTTTGGGAGTTGAAGATGGCTACATTTTATGCATATTTTACCTGATTTCGTAAACATTTTATTTTTATAAGATTTTAAAGGAGGATTTATAAATGGGGTTTTGGGGTTTTGGGGTTTTGGGG